GATCGATGGGTCAAGGTCAATTGTGTGAGGTTCAACAAGGCTCAGGGCCGGTTCCTGCACTGGAGTCACAACAACCCCATGCAATGCTGCAGGCTTGGGGAAGAGTGGCTGGAAAGCTGCCCGGTGGAAAAGGACCTGGGGGTGTTGGTTGACAGCCGGCTGAATATGAGCCAGCAGTGTGCCCAGGTGGCTAAGAAGGAATAGTGTGGCCAGCAGGACTGGGGAAGTGATTGTCCCCCTGTACTCGGCACTGGTGAGGCCACATCTCGAATCCTGTGTACAGTTTTGCGCCCCTCACTACAAGAAAGACATTGAGGTGCTGGAGCGTGTCCAGAGAAGGGCAATGAAGCTGGTGAAGGGTCTGGAGCACAGATCCTGTGAGGAGCGGCTGAGGGAACTGGGGTTGTTTAGCCTGGAGAAAAGGATGCTGAGGGGAGACCTTGTTGCTCTCTACAACTACCTGAAAGGAGGTTGCCTGAGCTGGGTGTCGGTCTCTTCTCCCAGGTAACCAGTGATAGGAAAAGAGGAAATGGCCTCAAGTTGCACCAGGGGAGGTTTAGATTGGATATTAGGAAAAAACGTCTTCACTGAAAGGCTTGTGAAGCATTGGACCAGGCTGCCCAGGGCAGTGGTGGAGTCACCATCCCTGGAGGTATTTAAAAGGCGTGTAGATGTGGTGCTTAGGGACATGGTTTAGTGGTAGACTTGGCAGTGCTAGGTTAATGGTTGGACTTGATGATCTTAAGGGTCTTTTCCAACCTAAATGATTCTATGATTGCCCAATACAAATAGAACCATAACTGCAGATCACCTGTGGCCACAGTGGGCTCAACTGGAGTCCCACTGAAGTTAGAGGAATAATACCTTCAAAGTTCTATGAAGCCAATGTGGCATTTTGTATAAGAGCATTTCTTCAGCATTTCTTGAATGGAGCTGCCGTAGTCTTGCCTTGTGTGGAGCCCTTGGAGCTGCTGCACTCCGGGGAGGGAGGAACACAATGGATTGGAGGGGAGGGAGTAATGAACTTTGAACATAGCAAGGTTCATCATTTAAAGGAGCTGGGGTTTT